GGGGGGGGGAAGGGCTTGGGGATTCACATAATTTTTTTAAATGTTTGTAGCCCTCTCCCTTTCACTCAGTAAAAATTATGGCCCACCTATTAAGACAACTCCCACTAACGTTTGTCGAAAAAATAAGGTTTGACCCTCCAAAAAAGTTCTCTAAACCCCCATCCCTCCCTTCCCCCCCCCAATAAAAATGTATCTTTCCTTAGCTCTTACCATGTCCTTTATCCCTGCCCTTCCTTTAAGAAAACTACAGGATTCCTACCCAGCTGACAAATTCTCCCTATAATGTTATTTTCCTGTTCTTTCTCTTCTTAAGGGGAAGATTAAATGGAGACTCCTTCAGCAGGGGACAGAATTCCCAATAAAGCTGTTAAAATATTGCTCGATATAGTAATAAAGTTATTCTCAATACTACCTTGTTTAACAGGTTCAGAAGTTTCTGATGGTGGTTATTCAAATGGAATTGAGGTTGGTTAATGCAATGATTTTCATTTTGAAGCTCATGAAATCCTTGGCCATCATTGCAAAAAAACATTAATCAGAAAAAAACTGGGCTCAAACCAATAATCCTGACCAGTTGAAAGCTACAGTAGCCTGTGTAGCGGAGCTCTATGGGCCAGATGTATGAAGCCTGAATAGCGCTATCCAGCGGATAAATCCTTATCTAGTGGATAAGTCTATGCTTTTTTCCAATAAGTTCAGGGCTATAACCAGAACTTTTACAGGGAGGGTGCACATCGAATAAAATCGGACCATTGATCCATTGATCTTTTTTTTTAAGAAAGCAGAACCAAAAAAAATAAAAATAGAAATAAATAAAAATAAAAAAGGTAACTAAAAGAAAGTAGAACCAAAAAAAAAAAGGAGATGGATGAGCGGACCTTAAGCTTTTATGCAAGGGGGGGGAGGGGGTGCACGTGCACCCTGTGCTTCCCCCCTAGTTACGGCAAAAGTTCATCAACTGGATAAGGTTTATCCGTTGGATAGCGCTATCCAGGCGGCATACATTACACTCAAGCCAAAAGGGAAAAATACTTAAAGAAACTTTTAAAATTTACAGCTATGTGAAGAAGACGATTTGTATTGCAAGCCATGTAATCAGTATTTCAATAACCTGCACAACAAAAAAGAACATATATATGGACGAAAACACATGCAAACTGTCAACRGTAAAGCCAACGATGGAGAAGAAGAGGAAGATCTTCCTGGATTTAATATTCCGATATTCACGGAGGAATTTCTAAATCATAACAAAGGTGAGGCTTCCTAAATATGAAAATATAATAAACATGTTTTTTCTTTCTTCCTTCCTTCATGCTTCCATGCTTCCTTGCTTCCTTGCTTCCTT